GTGTGTGTGTGTGTGTGTGTGTGTGTGTGTGTCTGTGCGTGTGTTGTGTTTTTTTTTTGGATCATGTGGTTCATCATGTGGTTCAGGTTTGTGCTGTACCTGTATATAAGCGCTGAACTATGTACTGTATGTGTTCACTGTCTGCTGAAGAGCGTGTAGGCTCGAAACGTCACCTGTGGTGAGAACATAAATATTTTTCTACTTTTGGAGCTGTGGTGTGCCAACTTTGTTATTCATGTTTTGATTATGTAATACAAACATCAAAATGTAGCTGTTTAAAAGAAATGGTAAATGTTTTGATGTCGTAACAAAAAAAGTTGGTGTTTTACTGCCGCTGTATTTATTCATTTCACCTGGAAACCAGTGAATTGTATGTACATTTTTAAAAGAACGTAGGAAGAGGCCAGTGAGCCTGGGTTGCAATTGCAAAAAACAAGACAATGTGTTCTTAAAAATAATAACGTAAGAATGTATTTACCTTTTTATTTATTTAGTTTTTTATCTAGTTCTTTCTTTCTTTTTTTTTTTTTTTACAGCTTCATTAGAAGTGTTCAAAACCAAACAAAAAACAAAAATGAGCGAGACAGGTGAGTACATTCAGAGGTATATAACCTGGTATATAGATACAATCAGTAAATGTATTTGTAAAATAAATATATAAAATATATCTATTTGTATCTTCATAGACCATCTAATTTCAGACGATGGCAGTGATTCATCTGGTAAGATCTCCTTAGTCATTTAACATTTTATCCACTTTTCCAGTTTAATTTTTGATCTTGTTTTTATTGTCATTGTTATCCTTCAGCAATATTCAATGATATACCAAAGCATGTTTTCACAAGAACTATATATAAATATTAAGTTTATTTGTGTTATGTATGTATAAAACCCTTTGGAGTAATAGTAAATGTAGTAATTCAGCTTTTCACATATCTTGCTACTTTTTCAACTATGACTTGACGTTACAATTACTTGGTTTCACAATTAATTTGAGAATGACAAACCATATGCATGGTTTAATTTCCCTCATCTGGTTTCCTGATATATTTACCCTATCATATAAATAAACACACGTTCTAGATTATTAAAACTGTTAAAACAAGACACTTCTCTCAAATGCTAAACTTGTGAAATTTCTAATATAAACTCCAACAATTCCAAATTATGTTTTTTGTTAAAACAACTAAACCTCTGTGTTATGGTACAGAGGCTGCGAAAGTCAGGGGTTTTCAAACCTGTCCTGGAGAGAATCCATTTTGTTCATATTTTGTATGTCTTTCTTGACATAATTGCATAATGAACTTCCGTATTCTGTAAAACAGGTTGCGTCACATATGCAGATTGCAAGTGCAACATTGTGATGTTAAAACTGAATAACGTGCCAACAATAAAAACAAGGCAGCGGCTATTTGCATATATCACTATAATAGCAATAGAGGCTGTTTACACTAAGTGCAGATAGCTATAGATTATATTTACACTATGTTAAAATAGCAGGATTTTCTGCTATTTATACTACTTATTGCAAATAGTGGCAATTATCTGCACCTCGGTATTGTCGAACATTATAAAACAATATGCAATAATAACTTATTGAGTGTAAATTTTAATTTTAATTCAAATTATTAAATGGATGTCACCTTATTGGGACAATAAAGCCCTCCCTACACCTACCCCATACTTTATTTTCAAATTTTTGATTATTTCCTTCATTTTCATTTAAAATAAATGCTTTTCTGATGTGATTTGAAATTTGAAAAGGGAGAAAAAAGTTTGCCAAAAGGCAAATTCAAACCTGGTTCAGTCACGTCAATATGAGTACGACACACTTTTTACCATCTGCACCACTGGAGCTGACGACTATTGACTGTCTTTTGTAATGCTGACTAGCCGAATCACACATTGGTGGGCGGAGTTAGTGTAAATAGCTTCTGCCAACAAGGCGGGTTATTTGCACTTAGTGCAAACAAAAAAACAAATACCTAGGTTAGCTGATTACCCAAAAGAGCCAGTTCATACTGCTGTTAACACTTTTTCCAACAAGTGCAAATGATGTGACCTGTTTTACGGTTTGGTCATGTGATGTTCAACATATACCCGATTCAGAGCTGTGTCTGAAATTGTACCCTATACCCTTAAAAGTGAATGAGGTTATAGCAGGCAATTTCGGACATAGCTCAGGTCTTGTGGTCTCTTCTAATGAGCTGATGAATAGAATCAGTTGTGTTAGATGAGGGAAACACAGAAAATGTGCAGTGGTGGGGGTATGGCAGGACTGGTTTGAGAAGCACTGGGGCAAGTGCATCTATATAGTAACTCCAACCATAATATAGCTACAGGCAGCAATTACTGGGTTATAGTGAAGTGAAGGTTATCTTATCTGTTTAAATATATAGTTCAGTCATGAAACTCTAGATGGCGCATTGGGTGTTAACGTAACTGAAGACATTCAGAGAGTTAAAGGACTTGGCACAAGCTGATTGGTTCATGCTGCGTATGCAGCCAATGAGCTTACTGCCTTGCATTTATATGGCTGGCTAGCATTCACTTCAGATTCCTGCAGCGTGCTTTCAGAGTTCTCTGAAACCCTCCACCTTCCCCAGCTCCACCTGTATAGATCTGCTACAGGGTTATTTTATATGCTATGTGTGCAGCAGCAGTATGTCTTAAATACTCACTGCACCGTACTGCTGTATGCATTGGCAGTAGCAAGTTCCTGTACTTGCTTGCAGCAGCAGCAATAATCTACAACAGCAATAATACAATACAATACAGCAATAACCAACAGCAGCAGCAATTCAGCAGCAGCGTAGCAGATCTGTTCCGCCAAGACCAAATACATTAACATTGTCATATCCATCACCATGCTAAAATGTTCAGAGAGTTGTCATGATTGAACTAATTTTAATATGAATAACTTCCTCAACACTGCATTTATGTGTATGAATGTTAATGCATTTATTTTTAAAAGTATCAAAAATAATTTTAACAACACTTCGGTCTCATGACCTTCATCAGGTATTGTCAGGGTTATGTTTGATTTGTGTTCCAGTTTTCATTGTGTTTTCAGTTAGCCTGTTCCCCTGTGACCTAGTTTCTGTCTCCTGTTGATTGTGTCATGTGGTTCAGGTGTGTGTCATCAATTATCGTCATTAGCATTAGCATATCCCTTTATTAATTGTGTTCAGTTCTCAGTTTATTGTCTGGTCTACAACGTCCATATGTGTGATTCCGGCCTGTCTGCTTTGTGGTTGCCCTTGTGGATTTATTAAAGACTGCTTTCATTGAAACTGCATCTCCTTCATGTGTTTATCCACTGAACTGTGACAGGTATAATCAAAATCTTCAACATTTTTATTTTGAATTTTTTTTTTTTTTTGGTCTTTGTTTCCTATGCACCTATCTATTGCTTTCAGGTGTGTGAGGATTGATTGTTAAAGACATTCATTTCTGAAAGTGATCAGCATTTGAGATTTGTCATGTAATTGGAACCAGTATAACTTTAATTCAAGGTTATTTTTAAGTTTCAATATAATATTCATCTGTCACCGCTGTATTACAATATAATTTCAGACAATCCGTCTCCGCTTCATGACAACTCAGGGGCTCATGAAAGGACACAAGTCAATGATATAAGTACGTAGGTTTTTTTTTTTTTTTTAATAAACCTAAAATTTATTATTAAAGTTTTTAAAATGTCATTAATTTTAAAGGGATAGTTCACCCAAAAATGAAAATGACCCCATGATTTACTCACCCTCAAGCCATTCTAGGTGTAATGTTATGTAACCACCTGCTTTCAGACGAATACAATCGAAGTTATTTTAAAAACATCCTGGCTCTTCCAAGCTTTGTTCTGTCAGTTGGCAGTGCTTATACCCAATTCTAAATCCCCTCTGATGTAGTATCCTGCTTTAGCCAACTCATGACAATCCAGCACATGAGTAGCTAATCCGATCGCATGTGAATAAATGCAAATATTTCCTTAAAAAAAAAAAAAAGACAGTGATGCAGTCGGGATTGAGGTGTAAACGCTCTCATGCATTGTATGTTTCATTCATACTCGAAGCTGGAGGGTGCTCTTGCGCAAGTCCAAAGTCCAAAATGGCCTCATAAAAGTAATAACTAACTGGGATATGGCACTAACAAGCAGTCATTATTATAGAAGATGAAGAAGAATAACTTTATGACATGCCAGGAAATAAAGGCATTCAGCTATTGCTGTAGCCAAAGCAACCTCTGCTGCTAAGCTGAACAAAAAGAAACATATTGACTGATGAAACTTAAGACAGTAAACACACGATTGTGACAATATATGGTTTATGTGTGTTTCTCAAGTCATCTCCAGATGATAAAAAAGCATCTGAATAACACAGTGCTAACTGACCCTTCACTGGGAGTTTGGCTGACAGCAGGCCTGGCTTGAGATAGAGAGTGTGCCAAGTGATATTTCGGGGATGGAGGGGGAGGGGTGGGCCTGTCTTACAAAAGTATCATTTTCCGAGGAACAACACTCAACACAGAAAACAAAAGCATGCATAACAAGAATGATGGAGTTACATTAACACTAGGCTTGCTGTGGAAGTCGGTGTTACACTGTGTTTGGTCATACACTGATTACATTATTTGACCACTGCGGCACCCAAGTCCAAGGTCCAGTCAAAAAGAGTCCAAAGTAGTGCAAATCACAAATATCAAAATTCATAAATGTCATTTACATACCTAAAATACATATTTTACAGTCACTGTTATGCACATTGATTATAAACATAGCTCAAAGGCTTCCTACCAGTGGCTTTAACAAAACGTAACATCCAACATAGTTTTATCATGGGTAGAATGCAAAATATTTCAATACAAGCATTTCAGTGAAGTTTAATTTATGCAGTATTTCAAACCTTTAAACCACAGTGGAAAATAAACCCAGTTTAAAAGTAACTCAATTCCATGGGAAAAAACGCAGACTTGACAACCCTGCATCCACCATGAGCTGCAGGAGTGAGATTTGACTGATCACGGGTCGAGAGTAAGGAGAGATGACTGACAGATCATGCTGGAGGATTTGCTGCTCAACAGATCCTGAGCTCACTGACAAATATATTGTAAAATGTGCTCCCTTTACACAGAGTACGCGCGATCGCGCAATTGAAAGTAAACAGCGCGAGCGCTCATCAAAAGCGATTCCAATGCTGTGCATATTGATAGCGGCTCCCTGATGTGCAAAAATTATATACAATATTAGAATGTTTGCGGGTGCAGGTGGGAGTGGAACACGCTGCAGGAGTGGGCAGTAAGAAAACAAAAAAGAAGAATATATGCAGCTCAAATGAATATCGCACCAATTTTGTGATTGGCTGTTATGTAGAGTGGGGCCAGGGTGGGCCAAGCTGCTGATTGGGTGGGGGTAAAAAATAATAATAAAACCTGTCAATTAGATGAAAAAAAAGGTATTATTATATTTGACATTTCTGTACCCCTCACTTCTGAAACGATAGCTACGCCCCTGTATCAGGGTTCAAAATTACCATTTGCCCATCACTGTATGTCATGGAAGAAACACACAGGAGTAGAGCAGCACAATTCTGGATAAATTGAGATTCACGAAGCGAGAGATTACAGTTTTATAAATATGGATGTTTATACACAAACACATCGATTCACTTCAGAAGGCCTTTATTCCCCCCCATGGAGCCGTGTGGAGCACTTTTTATGATGGATGGACACACTTTATTTGGACTTCTATTGGACTATTGTATCTCAGCAGCTATTCACTGCCATTATAAAGGTTGGAATAGCCAGGACATTTTTAAAATATAAGTCTGATTGTATTGTGTCTAAAAGAAGAAAGCATATACACCTAGGATGGCTTGAGGGTGAGTAAATTATGGGGTCATTTTTTGGTGAACTATCCCTATAATTGGCATATTAAACAATTAAAAATCATGTAATTATTTTAATGTAATTATTATTATTGTTATTATTATTATTACTTGCTGTTTAAATGCTTTGTTTAATCCTTGACATTTCAATCTGGTTCAAAGGATCAAATTCATCTGATATCAGGATTGTTCTGCTGGGTAAAACTGGATCAGGAAAGAGTTCAACAGGAAACACTATACTGGGCAGAGGGTGTTTTACGGTGGATGATTCACTAGAGTCATGTACTAAAACCTGTGAGAAAAGAGAAGTACTGATTGGTAACCAGAGGATCTCAGTCATCGACACTCCAGGCCTGTTTGATACCACAATGTCCAAACAGGAAGTGGAGCATGAAATAAAGAAGTGTGTGGAGAAGTCTCTTCCTGGTCCTCATGTGTTTCTGCTGGTCATCAGACTGGACGTGAGATTCACAGAAGAAGAGAAAAACACAGTGAAATGGATTCAGAAGAACTTTGGAGAAGAAGCTGCACGCTACACCATCATTCTGTTCACTCACGCTGATCATCTGAGGGGGAAACCATTATATGAGTATATCAGACAATCTGATGCTGTCAAAGCTCTAGTTAATGAGTGTGATGGCAGATTTCAATCATTCAACAATAACGACACGCAGAACAGCTCACAGATCACTGAACTGCTGGAGAAGATTGAGAAAATGAAGGAGAATGGAATAGGGTACTACACTAATAAGATGTACGAAGAAGCTCAGTGGCGATTAAACAGGGAAAAGTTCTGTAAGTGTGTGTGTGTGTGTGTGTGTCTTTGAAACATATTATCACCATTATATAAACAGCGGTGGGTGTCACTGTCTGGTTCATTCCATATTGCATATCATTAAGCTAATTTTGTACTTTTTTATTGTGGTTTGTTTGTTTGTTTATTGCCTGCATTGTAAACACTCTGATTATTTGACATTTGGATTGACAGGGTCTGGAAATCCTCGGATTGTGCTGCTGGGTAAAACTGGATCAGGAAAGACCAGTGCTGTTGAAACCATTGTGGGCCGAGAGAGTTTTACTAAAACCTGTCAAATACATGAAGCTTGTGTTGATGGAAAGAACATGAAAATAATCGACACTCCAGGACTGATTGATGCACCAGCAGAGAAGATGAAAGCTGAATTAGAGAAGTGTGTCCACATGTCTGCTCCTGGTCCTCATGTGTTTCTGCTGGTCATCAGACTGGATAAGAGATTCAAAGATGAGGAGAAAAACACAGTGAAATGGATTCAGAAGAACTTTGGAGAAGATGCTGTACATCACACCATCATTCTGTTCACTCACGCTGATCATCTGAAGAGAAAACCATTAGATGATTATATCAGAGGCAATCCAGACCTACAGGTAGTTACTGAAGGGTTTGGTGGCAGATTTCACTCATTCAACAATAAGAACATGGAGAATCACTCTCAGGTCACTGAACTGATGCAGAAAATTAATGAAATGGTCGAGAAGAATGGATTACTGCACTACACCATTGAAATGTACCAGAAAGCTCAGGGAAATAAGCAGTTCTGTAAGTGTGTTTGTCTTTTTGTGTCTATAATAATTAATGTTCAATGTAATAATACCATCATGATGCATCAGGAATGCAAAAATAAAATCTATCCAGGTTGCTGTCAACGTTTACATGGACATCAGTAATCTAATTATTTACCTTATTCTGAATAAGACAATATTATGATTAAGGTGTTTACATGAGCTGCTTTTAGAATATTCCTTTCATGTTCCTGTTTGACATGTTAGAGTACATAGATGGATTAATGGCTCACGTCATTACGTCACCATGCGACGCCATCTGACGTCCAACACAGAATTTCATGTATCAACATACAGTTCGTCTTCGTTATGGTGCCATACAGTTTTGGGTGTTAAGTTTTTTTAAAGATTTATTTTTGCCATTTTTACTTTTATTTGAAATCGTATTATTTTGAAATTTATTATATAAAGTATGAGAGAGAGGGGTGGGATCGGGAAACGTCCGCACACTGCCCACGAGGTGTTTAATTTAATTTCAAGTGCAGTTAATTATTTGTCATGCTATACGTGCAAACAGACGATGGCGTTGTTAAAGTCATGCTCTTTTATTTGCCGTCAAATGGTTGAGCACTGTCATGTGTGTGTCCTGTCGCAAAATGCAGTGAAAAGTCCTACACGACGGTAATAATGTGATTGAGGTGTTTACATGTCTTTACTGCATTTCAGTAATGCGACTAAAATAGGAATACTCCACATGTCTTAATTTGATTTGTGTTTACTTCGAGTATGACTTTAGCCGGATTAAGGTAATCAAAAATCCCTGTTTACATGCTAGATTCTTAACCAGAGTATTGCCTTAATTGTGTTAAAATTGGAATAATCAGTACATTTACATGGACAACAATACTCTCATTTTAATACGATTAAGACAATACTCTGATTAAGAATCTAGCGTGTAAACAGAGATTTTTGATCACCTTAATCCAGCTACAGTCATAATCGAAGTAAACACAAATCGAATTAAGACATGTGGAGTACATTACTGAAATGCAGTAAAGACATGTAAACACCATAATCACATTATTACCGTCGTGTAGGACTTTTCACTGCATTTTGTGACAGGACACACACATGACAGTGTTCAACCGTTTGACGGCAAATAAAAGAGCATGACTTTAACAACGCCGTCATCTATTTGCACGTATAGCATGACAAGTAATTAACTGCACTTGAAGCTTTCAGTAAATTAAAAATGAAACACCCAAAGCTGTGTATGGCATCATAACGGAGACAAACTATATGTTTATACGTGAAATTCTGGGTTGGATGTCAGATGGCGTAATAACATGTGCCATTAATTGATCTATGCACTATAACATGTAAAACAGGAACATGAAAGGAATATTCTAAAAGTAGCTCATGTAAACACCTTAATCATAATATTGTGTAAACATCTTTGTATCAGTCCTGCATTAGTTACTGCATGTTTCAGTTCATTTTAAATTGACATCATTAAATCTATGTTGACTATTTGTTTGCTGTGATTTAGTTAATTTTTAATTTCTGGATTGTAATCGTTCTGTTTTAACATTTTGAATGGCAGGGTCCGAGAAACCAAGAATTGTGCTTCTGGGAAAGACTAGATCAGGAAAGAGTGCTGCAGGAAATGCCATCATGGGTCAAGAGAATTTTAAGAGGAGAAATTCAGCTGATTTTTCTACTAAAACCTGCAAACTACATACGACACATGTGGCTAGAAGAAGCATAAAAATAATCGATACTCCAGGACTGATTGATGCACCAGAAGAGAAGATGAAAGATGAATTAGAGAAGTGTGTCCACATGTCTGCTCCTGGCCCTCATGTGTTTCTGCTGGCCATCAGACTGGACATGAGATTCACAAAAGAGGAGAAAAACACAAAGAAATGGATTCAGAAGAACTTTGGAGAAGAAGCTGTACATCACACCATCATTCTGTTCACTCACGCTGATCATCTTAAGGAACAATCATTAGATGATTATATCAGAGGCAATCCAGATCTACAGGCATTTACTGAAGAGTTTGGTGGCAGATTTCACTCATTCAACAATAAGAACATGGAGAATCACTCTCAGGTCACTGAACTGATGCAGAAAATTAATGTAATGGTCGAGAAGAATGGATTACTGCACTACACCATTGAAATGTACCAGAATCGTCATTTCTTCCTGGATGTGTCGTGTCCTGTCCAGATCCTGCCTTGCCTTGCCTTGCCAGCCTGTTTTTCCCCCACGGGGTAGTTTCTGTTGTTTGTTTTGTTTTATTTTAATAAAAGCCCATTCTTTCTGCAGTACTGAGTCCTCGCCTCATCCCTCTACCCGGAACCCTGACAATTTCACCAGTATCAGCAGTGTTCTAGACCTGCTGTTAGTCAGTGAAGTTACACAGATGTGGCGGCAAGGGTCTGTCTTTATGAGCAAGTCAAATAATACATTTAAAACTGATTTATACATGAATAAAAGGTGTTGAAATTAATTAAACTTTGAGCACCACTTTATTAGGCTCAATAGACAATCAATCTGACATCTTGAGTCATGCTGAAGCTGATGTTTCCCTTCAAAGAGATCAATGGAATTGATTCAGTGCACTGACCAGTGCTGATGTCAATGTTGAAAGGATACTGTGACGAAGATATTGCTTTCATCTTAGGACAATTGATTGCAAAATGTTTTTTTTATGAATTTGACAAAAAAAAATGCTGAAATTACACACATTCACTTGATCTCTCTCTCTATTTCTGTCTGTTTAGTTAAACACAAGCATTAAGTGTAAAACAAGGGCATAGCCTCATAAAAAATGTGAACATCATGGTTATGGCAGTTGCTTGTCAGTATCGCAGTATTATGGTTATTGCAACAGCCTTATCTCAGGGTTAGTAGTGTGAAATTCAGATCTATAAATGACCACAACACACTTTTGATAAGTGATTAGATCTGTAAATGAGGCCACTTTAAAATTATGAAATTTCTATTACCATCCATAAACAACCACGATAACCTTTTACTTTTTCCCCCAACCAATAATATGTTTTCTAGACACACTGTAACAAAGGACACAAACAAACAAACAAAAAAGCAGCTAAAGCATCAAGAACCCAACTAAAGTAAATGTTATTCACCACAGTGGTGGACTATCTTATTTTCAACAAAACATCAACGTATAAACCTGTTAATTTTAAATAGGGTCATCATGTTCATGTTAATTTCCAGTTTAATATGTCACAAATAATTAATGCAATTAATGCAGCATTCTTCTTATTTGTTTCCTGGCATCCTTTGGCTAGCATTTCAATAGACTATATGAACATGCTATCAAGCACACTAAGATGCTAAAGCAGGGGTTCTCAAAGTCTACATTCAAAGGTTCAAATCTGAATTTTCATCAGTGTCAAAGGTCATACCGGAACAAATGGTTATTAAAATACTTGTTTTTAATAAACATACATAACATGCACAACAAATTGTCAGGGTTCTGTCACTTCGGTCTAGTGTAATTCATAGTTTTGTGACAGAGCCCTGACACTCGCGTCATGTCATTGTTTTCATGTGAGCGTGCGGCTTCGAGTCTTTTAATAAAAGCCCATTCTTTCTGCAGTACTAAGTCCTCGCCTCATCCCTCTACCCGGAACCCTGACAGTATGAACTGACCAATAGAGGACTCAGCAGAACAATGGGCATCTTCCTGTTCCCATCTCCCTGCCCCTCCGCTCATCAGATAGCTGCTCAACACAGGAGGCTCCGTCTACCACCGTGGAGAGGAGGGTGGCCTTCCTCCTCTTGGCCCTCCTCCCATTCTCCTCACAAACCCCCTAGTACCCAGTCCTCCTATGTCCTGCCAACGGAGGAGGAATGGGTACGCCTCACCATCCCTAGAGGCAGCTGGAGAGGCTGCTGTGCCCCTAGAGGTGGCCGATGAGGCTGCAGCTCCTCGTGTGGCAGCCGAGGAGGCCGCAGTGCCCCTGAGGTTGGCTGATGAGGCTGCAGCGGCCCCGGAAGCGGCCGAAGAAGCTG